AATACTTTTTCGCAGTTGAAGAATAAGAGCCAAAGACAAAGTTTATGATCCTTTCCATTCTCCAGCTGCTAGCACATATGCTAGGATCGCCAGCAGGATGACCACCAAGTGATACAGAAATTAGTCATAGCAATTATGAAAGGAAACCGAAGTATGAGCGCCCAAATGTAATGTCGCTAAGTTTTCGGTCAACGTATTTTTGTTTTTATCTGAAATTACCACTCTTGGGCAAATTTTCGGATCATTTTGGCGGTTGTCGTTCCAGCTTGCTACAAAACGAGGGAGGCCGAGCATTATCCCTTCACTCCTTGCATGCACTCCCCCTTCCCTCATCTCTCGCTAATTCAACTTTGTTATAATTTAAATAGCTAGATTTCACCTGTGTTTCGGCATGAGATATTTCTCTTCGCTAAGTGTTAGTCGCTTGGGATCCCTCATTTTCGTATTCTTTTTCTGGTCTTCAAATATTTTGTACTGCTAGATTAGCTATTGGTTGCATCAGGTTATTTTCTGCTCCACAGTGGAATTCTCGTTCTGTTTGTGAATATAGTGCAAGACAGCTTTTGAGTTCACGATTAGGGCCAAATTTAAGTTGGGTTTTGAATTTCTGACCGGAGTTTGATTCTAACTATCACAGTGAGAAGGTGCGACACTTCATTGTTTGGATAGGTGGATTAATTCGGTTTTATTCGAAGATGCTGTCATGGTAACAAAAGGATATTGCTGCTTTCGCTATATATGCTCTAATCAGCCGACATTCCATTGATTGTGCATCTTTGTATTAAAAGTGCAGCATTTTTAAGCCTTGCAAGCGAGACTGCATCGCCTGGTGGCCAACCCGCTAGTGAGCTTGACATTCTCCCTTTTTAACTGAGAAATACTAGACTTACTGCATTCTCCCAGCTATCACCCATCAGCCATCCAAACACAGAAGGGAAGTTGGGAGCTAACACTATAAGGATTCCTAAGAAAACCTCATTTCTGATATAGACCACAGCAGAAGATAATCTTGCTCTCATAATTTCGCAGTACAAAACTGAATTATTATTGTAGTGGCGCGATATGATTGAAAGGGAAAGCAACCGCCGCACAACCTGTGTATCTAAGGCAGAACAGACCAGCGAGATATGAGTACATCGAGGACATCAGGGTCACCAGTAGTGTACTACAGCGCAAAAGCGGAAGTCATCGCTAGAAAAGACGTCACAGCAGCTGCAGCGCAACTGAGAGCCGCTGTGTTTTACGCCTGTAGCGATTGGTGTTTGAGAATACTGAGGATTGTAGGGAATGCCATATTATTGTGTGTATCAGGTTTCTTTTTTTAATGAGTAAAATATTGTTGGTTTGGCGAATCCAACAAATATATTTGTAATTTTAAATTTTTATGAACTGTTTATGTATCCTGTTGTTAAAATTTGTTGAACTTTATTCAGGTAAAAAAGAGGTATTGGCAAGTTTTTACCCTTAGTACACAATCGGTTTTAGTTTTGTAATCATCCTTTTGCATTTCTCTCTGTGCTTTGTGTGATATACGCAAATTTTTTTCTTATTTTGAAAAACTGCTGGCCAAACAGCAAGTTATTTTATTCTCAGGTACAAAAAGAAACTGCACATGAAATTCTTTCAATCCCATCCCCAAACTCCATTGCCCCAGGGATGACCATGGCCGTGACCAAATCCATGATGCCCATGATGATGATCAAACAATCCGTGATGTCCAAAGTGATGACCAAACAGTCCGTGGGGTCCGTGATGATGATCGAATATACCGTGGTGTCCATGATGATACGGATGATCACTCCAGTCATCATCCCACCATCCCGACGCACTAACTGTTGCCATTATCACTGACAGCAGTACCAAGGCAGCTCGGAGTGCCATAATTCGAATCTAAACTTCACATCTATCATCAGAATCAAAGTACGAACACGTCTAAATACAGTACTTTTCAAATACCATATGATTTAATACCTTGCACGAGCTGCGATTGGTTTGGGCTACACGCTTTAATTTCTAATTCCTTCAATTCCGAATTTTCAATTCCTAATTCATGTGGTAGAAGCTAGGACCCTAAAACCGTCATTAACTTATTTACTTTTAAGCAGCCCTGAAAAAAGACAGTTATCTAGAGCCTTACCAGCGGGTAATTGCTGTTTTTTAAACTATTCGCGCTAACTTCCCCAGTACTCTCTTTCGGACAGTGAATGCTGAAGGGGTTTTGACTTTTTTGACTTGAGTTATGATCTCAAGCATTAGATCCAGTAAGATGAGCATCCGAATGAACAGAATTAACTGGCTTCCTGGTTGTATTTAGCTGAGAAATGAACAATCATTAATAGTTTAAAAAAAATACCTGTTGTATGAGGCCGAAGGATGTTACAGAAAGTACTGATGCTTTCTGGAGAGAGCCACCGTCTTTTATACAGCAAACTAGAACAAGCTTCAAAACTCAATCAACAAGTCATCTCATGCCGTCATGCCGCTTTTCGATGGTTTTTTTTTTTTGAAGTTGAAAAGTAACACCTTTCGTACAATCGTCGCTCTGTTTTCACATTCGTTAACCTATTTACATGTTTATCCACCAGCTTGTTTCACTTACAGCAACTGCTACGTGAAGCTTGTTTCCGGCACCTCATTTGCAGTTTTTTCG